GAGCACGATTTAAAAGAAAACCAAAGATATAGATATATGTTGATACGAGAAATAAGAGAAAAAGAAAAAAATTTTATAGATAAATATTCATATAACTTTGTAAATAAGATTTGATCGTAATATAATTCGAATCATGGTTGTAGATTCTGTTTGTTATTCTTCGATGTCAGATTTATAATATATATATATATATACATTGTTTAAATGAATAAGAAATCTGTATGAAATTTTAAATATGATATAGGTACAATAGAGAAGATGTGTGTAATATATGTGTATAAATATAAAAATACGATAATGAAACATGCAAAAGAGAAAAAGAGAAAATGATTATATGTGTAATTATTTTGATATGTGTATGTAAATAAGTACAAAAACATGCGAGCATTATGATTAATACAATGGAGCCTTGATTAAACGGATGATAAACAAAGTTTAATCGAATTTTATAAAATATCAATAAAATAAAATATCAATTTTGAAAAATGACAAATAAGTGGTGGAAAGAATTATTAATTAGAGAAACAAAAGAAAGAGGAAAAATGTATGTCAATAGATCGAGGTTCGATTGTATTTAAGAAAGAAGGATAGATATTCTAGCATCTTAGCTCAGGAAAACGAATTATACAGTCTCTGTAATATGATATTGCAAACGATTTATTATACGTGTTATTATATACATGTTTCCAAAACTCAAAACGTGAAGAATATACTATAACAGTGTGAAAATTAAAAATATATATTCTGACGAAAAAAATAATTTAAAATTCAAATAATAAATTAGAGTAATTTTGGATACAGAAGAGACGATAACATTATCAATGAGTTTGAATCAATGAAAAGTCAAATATTTCTATCATTCTGCCATTATTGCTGTCTAAAGAAACAATCAATAAATCGTTTGAATAAATATTAATTGCTATCTTCATTGAGTTTTGTTAATTATGTTCAAAGAGAAAAGAATGTGATAAAATAAAACAAAGAAAATAAAAATAAGGATATGTACCAAAGTTCGTGACTAATAAAATTAAGTTTAGTTTTATATAGTATCTTTTTCACTATAACACGTGAAAAAATATCAGCCAATTTTTGTAGAAAAATCAATGTTGATGCCAGAATTGCCGAATCAATGCAATTGATTATTGATAATTAATTTCAGATGCTTTTGTAATTATTGAAATTATATAGATATTTTTGGAAAAATTATATCATTATTGATTTTATTTATACATGTATATTAAATTATTCAAATTATTTAATATTAATTTTAATTCTAATATTATAGATCGGTTGTTTCAGTGTTTTTTTTCGAAAAAGAAATTTTCACTTTCAATTGTTAACATTGAAACTTATTAGAATTAAAATTAATATTAAAAAAAAAAAAATTCTCTTATATATATTCAGAAGCAAGAAGAATATATTATATTTAATTTTTTGTTGCTTGATTATTAATTAAATTTTATTGTTCTCAAAACTGGATGTACACGAAGCGAAAACAAAGGAACTGATACTGAACGAAAAAAAAGGAAAGGAAAAAAAATTATTATATATGTTATAATTGTAAATAAAATTTCTGTAATATTTCTAGTCCTTTAAAGATGAGAAGTCTATCAGAAGAGAAGAGAAAAATGAAAGAGGAAAGGATTTTGTATTATAATTAAATTAAATTATAGTATAATTAATTTCTAGTTGTGTTTTAGAGAAAGAAAAAAATTTTTCATATTTGTAAAATGAAATATATTTCTATACCAAAGGGATGGTGTACCTATATCATTGAATGTTCCACGAAACATTGAATTCTAAAAAAAGATGTTCGATATAAAAAAATCGATAATTAACATTCACCTTCTTCGCTACGCTAATAAAAGAAAATAGAAAAAAATAATAATTAAAAAAACAAGATATATTTAAAAAAAAAAGAAAAGTAAAAATATATAAGTGAATCAAATTTACTTATATTTATTATAAAAGGATAATATCAGAAATATGAATATAATACATACCAATTAATAGAAGCTGATACTTTCTTTCTTCAATTATAATAGCTTTTAAAAAATCAGGTTTATATTTTTGTAATGTTTTCACACATGAATAATAGTTGTCTTAGTATATGCTTTATTTGATATTAACAATTTAATATTTTTAATTATTAATGTATTTTTTCTTCTAATTAATTCATATTTTTTAAATGATTTCTGCTTGTTATGTTTTGATGCTATTTATATTTTATTTTCTTTTTTTTTTTTTGTTTTTATTAATATCGAATCCTTCTCAAGGATTTATTTTAGAGGCAGGAAATATGCGATTCTTATTAACAAATTCTAATTTTTATTTTATCTGCTTTATTATAAAGAATTCTCGTAATTCTTCATTCTTCTCGATACTTTTTCTAATATTTTAATGTGATGTGTTTTGTAATATTTAAAAATTTGAATAAAAATGTTAATAAATGCGTTTTGTTTAATATCATATTTTTTCTGTTCATTTTATCTTTATTGCATTTATTTTGGAATATTTGAATTTTATTTTAATTTTTATTTAAACATTTGTTTTATATTTATAAATATTCAACATATTTATAAAATATATTTCTTTAATATATTTAATATATTTATTTATATAATTTATAAATTTATATATATATATATCAAAATATATGTATATGTAAATATACATATGAAAAAGCTAAGTGACACATAAATAATCATATTAAAATAATCATATAAAATTTCGTATTTATATATAAAAATGGATTTACTAAGATTTTTAATAAATAAATTAGATAAAAGATTAATCAAGACAATGAAATTAATCAGAAAAAAAATTTAAAAAATCAAAGTCTATCTCTTAAGCATATAAATTCCGTAGAGTAAGTCTAGACAAGGAGAGCAAATAATAAGAGAAAGATAGAGATATTGTAAAAATATTGAAATCAGCGCTATCTGCAGAGTGCCGCAAATGAAATACGTAAGAAAAGGACAGAAAATAATGAGAGAAGGATAAAGAGAGTAAAAATTGAGTATGTGGCGCCATCTCTCGAATACAAATGTAACTATTTAATAGAAAGCGTAGCTAAAATCGGATACGTGGCGCCATCTCTCGAATGCAAAGATAACTATTTAATAAAAAGCATAGCTAAAATCGGATACACGGCGCCATCTCTCGAATGCAAAGGTAACTATTTATTAGAAAAATAAAGCAAAGTAAGAATTGAAGATTAGCGCCATCTCTTGAATATCTTTTTAAGGAAATATTTTCAATACTCGATAGATGGCGCTAGCAATTAATTCTTTATCTCTATCCTTCTTCTATTATTTTCTATCCTTTCTTTTTGAGTTTCATTTACGGCACTCTACAGATGGCGCTGATTTCAATAATTTTATTTTATCTCTATCTTTCTTCTATTATCTCCTATCCTTTCTTTTCGAGTTTTATTTACAGCTCTCTGCAGATGGCGCTGATTTCAATAGTTTTATACTATTTCTATCCTTTTTCTACTACTTGCTCTCCTTGTCTAGAACGCGTGCTTTCGTCGCTCGAAATGTTAAATGAATATATTTTTATTATTTGTTTTTCAAAATTATAATATATGTGATATAAAAAAATGCATTAAATGTTAAATATATAATTTGTATAATTTTTATATATAGTATATATGTATTATACATATATTTATATTTTTTTTATATCGTATAAATATTTTATTTTATTCCTATATATCATAATGATATTCTTAATTCTTTAGGAACATTTTATTATTTTATTTCATTTTATTAATAAAAATCTATTTATCATAAAAAAATAATCAATTTTCTATATTATCTTATTATAAAATATTTGCTTAAATTCTTGATTTGCTTGATAAAAAAGCAAAAATATGGATAAACAAATTATTTAACATTTTTTATTTAAAAATATAAAATATATTCATAAAATATTTTATTTTATAAAATTATTTTATAACATAGAATATCATACATAATGATATATCAGACTTTATTTTCAGTTATATTTTTTACCTGTTTTTGTGCCTCCAATTTTTTTTTTCTTATTTCAATCTTTTTATGCTTTGTGCTTTTTAAATGAATGTTCCATTGAAATTCTCCAATAAATATCCTATCACAAATCTGTCAGAAAAAAAATGAAATTTTTAATTTTAATCGAAATCCAAATATAAATCAATATTAAAAGATTAAAAATTCAATACAAAAATTTACATCACAAAAATGTCTTTCCTCGTTGCTACTATCACTGAATTTTTTATTCTTCACTGATTCGTTTAAAGGTTTTTGTTCAGGTTTTTCTCCTCTTAGCACAGCCTCGATTATTGCCACAGCTGGTTCATATACACAACTGTCCCATTGGTTCACATCGGTAGAATCTAATGCATAAATTGGTGGTACCTATAATCATTTTAAATTAAAATACAAAATATTTTTATATTATGAAAATAAAAAATATTATTAAAAATGATAGACAAACTATTTATTAAATAACACTTGGAACACTTTGTACTTGTCTGTCACTGCGACGAAGTAAACGATTCATAACCCATTTTATCTGTTTTTTTGCGTATCTCTTCGTAACCATTTTTAAATCATCAATACCCCTTTGCAATAATTCTTGTCCCTATAAATGAAACATTTATTTATATGTATATCAATACATGTATATTAATATAATTATTAATTGATATTTTGAAATAAAATTAATAATGGAAAGGAACATATTATGTTTCCTTTGTCAAAACTCATTGCTCCAACTCTTTCCATAGACAATAATTATATTTAATTATATCAATTTCAAAACCAATATCAATTTTGATCTCTAATCATCTGAAATTTGAAAATTGTAATCTATTAGATATAATTCTAGCAAAATTCATATAGACAAGCAAATATAAAAAATAAAAAGAAAAGAGAATAAAATTAATTTATCATTCTTATCTTCAAATTGTAACATCCAACGAGAACTTGAAACTAGGTAAAAAATACTAATAGATCAAAATTTATATCATTTTATTTATCTTATTTGCTTTTTCATTGATCATTTGCTGCTCACCTTTTTCCCTCGTTTCTCTTCTTCTGGCAACACAAGGTAATCGTGAAACTCTTTGAAGCCGATACTTTGAAAAATACCCTTCGTATAATCGACTGATCTGAAATCAGAAATAAAAATAAATAAATAAATAATTTATTCAAATCTATTTATTCGCAGTCTTTCTTCCATTATTTCAAATCATTCGCGCCAATTTTATTTTATTCTCGAACAACCTATCATATTCACATAATATAGAATATTTCTTGTTTTCTGATATTGATATCAAAGTAATTTTTTCTATCAAAATGTATCACTGATATATCTATTATTAATTCAAATTTTGTCTAATTTGTAATACAAAATATATATATTACAATAGGCATTCGTGGATTTAGTAGATTTTCAATTATCCACGTAATCAAACTTTTACCAAAAAAATCGTAAATAAAAGAAATATCATCATCGTTAAGATGCAAGACTTACAAAGACTTCCTATTACGTGCGCAACCAACAAAATCATCATTCAGTCCTACAATCAAACTATCAACCCCAATATTATATCAAAAAAAAAAAAAAAACTTCTTTCATCGCTGATAAAAGATTGAGGAAGGAAAGAATTTCGAAGATGAAATTTTTTTTTTTTTTT